GACCACTTCTGGGACATCAAAAGCAAATATTTCACGTGCCAGCGTGGCTCTGAGAAGTGCAAGCATTCAGCCAAGGCCATCGCCCTGGAGCAGAGCAGCCTGGCCCGGATGGATCCTCACCCTGAGCTGCTGCCTGAGCTCGGATCCCTGCCCCCTGTCAACACCTGAGCCTGGACCAACCCTGCCTCCCCCACCCCCACCCTGCACCCAGCAGCCTCCTCTGCCATCTGCCCTCTCCTCCCCCACTACCCCGGCACACATTCCTGGACCAGAGACCCCAGCCTGGCCTTGGAAGTCTGACAGCCCCGTCCCCCAGAGCTGGTTCCTCCCTGGGAAGGGGGCTTCAGGGCTGGCCATCCCCTGTTCCCCATCCTCACCTGACTTCTGATGAATTGAAATTGGGCCTCAACGCCAACTGGTTTCTTTTCGTTTTCAGTAAATGTTGGGTTTGGCAACAAAAAAAGTTTGTTTTTGTTGTTGTTTTTTTCCCCCCATATTTTTCTTTGAAATTCTTGGCATAATGTATCCACGACTTAGTATGTATCTAAGAAACAACACTTATAAGTTTATCAATGACTAAACTAAAAAAAATCCTGTGTACTGATTTGCATTTGTATGAGTGGCATATTCTGAAATCTGCTGTGCTTGTATTGTGACTGTCAATATTTTTACATAATGCTATTTTACACAATGCCATGTTGTTACTCATAGCACTCTGACCTACTTTCATGTGGTAGGTTCTTCTCAGGAACTCAGTTTAACTATTATTTATTGACATATCATTGCCTCTGAAAAGATTCTACTGGCACAATTTATCATTAAAATTTTGAATAAAAAAAAAGAGAAAAGTATGAAGTTCACAACTGTAAAACAATGTAGTCCTCCATATATTCCTATGGACTTCTAACGGTACAGCTTAACAACTAGCCATAGGACCCCAAAATCTCTTAAACTAGCTGATATGAATAGCAGCTTAAGTGTTATAAAGATCAAATAGATAGGAATAAATGGTTAAAGAGATCATATAAGTAGAACTAAGTGATTGGAAATAAGAATAGACAGAATTAAAAAAGAGTGAAGACTCCCAACATGGGAAGCAGTCCATACAGCAGACTCATAGAATGACAATTGCTTTAAGTAGCACTGTGACCTCAGAATCACCCCTTAGGGCATTCCAGTCTGGCTGGAAAGCCCAGAGGAAACATTTCAGGCATGCTAAGGCAAGACACTATGGAAAAAAATGTCTTACATAAAGGGCCCCTGTGAGAGAGACCCCAGTGGAAAGAAGTGGCCTCCAAAGAAGGGTGTACTTTTTTCTGAAGGGAGAAGAGAACTTCCACTTTGCTTATGGCCTTGAGCTAGTGGATGCAAAAGGCTTCCAAAACTGAGGCGGCTCATGTCAAGGGCCTTGAGTGATCACTGATGTCATACTTAAGAGTTATTTGTTAAATGAACAAAAGTCACTGTGCACTAACTTCCTGTGTAGGACCTCTGTCCACAAAGAGTTGTATCATGAGACTTAATAGTAAAACTTGATCTCAAGAATCACTTCCATTTTTTTAAAGACTTATTTATTTTATTTGAAAGTCAGAATTACACACAGAGAGAAGGAGAGGCAGAGAGAGAGAGGTCTTCCTTCCAATGGTTCACTCCCCAGTTGGCCGCATTGACCGGAGCTGCGCCTATCCAAAGCCAGGAACCAGGAGTTTCCTCCAGGTCTCCCAAATGGTTGCAGGGGCCCAAGGACTTAGGCCATCGTCTACTGCTTTTCCAGGCCATAGCAGAGAGTTGGATCTGAAGTAGAGCAGCTGGGTCTTGAACTGGCACCCATTTGGGATGCCGGCACTTCAGGCCAGGTCGTTAACCCACTGTGCCACAGCGCCGGCCCCAAGCATCACTTTCTTTTAGTGTATTAAATGGAGGATATTATTATGTCTCATAAGTTAAGTCTAAGAGCTCACAAAAGAGGTATCATCCTTAGGTTCATCTTTAAAGGCAATTAAGTTTTGAAAAGGAAAGGAGGGAGAGGAAGGAAGGGAAAAGAGAAAGGGGAAAAAAAGTGCAAACACCTTAGAGAAGCAATAACATAGAACAGCCCTTGTCTAGACTACTGAGGAAGAGTTCTGTTAGTTTTTTATTCGATTTTTTCTTTTTCTTTCTTTTTCTTTCTCAGACTAAACAGGAGAGGGAGGAGGAGTAGATGAGAGGACAGGTACAGAAGAATTACTGTATTCCTAATGTTATATTTATGAGATGCATACAAATCAAATAAAGAAAATTCGATTAACTTCAAGTGAACACAGAAATAACTTTATTCTCTGATAGACGGAAGTAATTTCAACTATCAAACATGTCTTTCAACTGAAATGTAAACCACATGAAATTAAAAATGTGATAGAAGACATCAACTGCAGAAGAGATGAAACATAAGAAAGAATCGGCTACTGAAGATAGGTTGTGAGAATACACAGTAAGAGAAGGGAAAAATAAAAATTAACCAAAAGGAATGAGGAAAGTTCCTGAGAACCTTGTGACAGTGTGGAAAGAGCAATGGTTTCAGTGATTTGTCTTCAAGAAGGGCTTGAAAATGCAAAGGGGTGGAAAGTGTATTTGATAATACGCTTTGTGTACAATTTGTAATACACGGAGATAGACTCCACTAAATAATATTAGGGGACTTAACAGCCCACTTTCATAAATGGGCAGATCAGCCAGACAGAAAATAAGCAAAGAAACAGCAAAGTTTATTGCAACCTGGATCAGCTGGATCTACGAGGCATCTGTAGAACATTCCATTTAGCTTCAGAGTGCACATTCGTCTAAACACATGGAAATTCTCCTGGATGGAGCACATGATAGGTCACAAAACAGTTGTCAGCAAGGTTTTAAAACTGGAATCCATATCAAGTATCTTTGCTAAAAACACTACAATAAAAGTAGACAAAATAACAAAACACTTTGGAAACTTAATAAAACTTCAGAAATTAAATAATGTACTCATGAACAAACAATTGATCAAGGAAGAAATTAAGAAGGAAGTTAAAAATTTCTTGAAATGAATTAAAATATTGGGGCCAGTGCCGTGGCTCAGTTGGTTAATCCTCCGCCTGTGGCACTGGCATCCCATGTGGGTACCAGTTCTAGTCCCGGCTGCACCTCTTCCAGTCTGGCTGTCTGCTGTGGACTGGGAAGGCAGTGGAGGTTGGCCTGGGTGCTTGGACCTCTGCACCTGTATGGGAAACCGGGAGGAAGCACTAGGCTACCAGCTTCGGATTGGCGCAGTTCTAGCCATAGCAGCCATTTAGGGGGGTGAACCAATGGAAGGAAGACCTTTCTCTCTGTCTCTCTCTCTCACTCTCTATAACTCTACCTGTCAAATAATAATAAAAAATAAATTAAAATATAATGTGCCACGACCTGTGTAATACAGGTATAGCAGTGCTAATAAGGACATTTAGAGTAATTAATGCGGCATAACAAACAGAAATATCTGAAGTAAACAAGTTACCACCTCACCTTACAGAACTAGAAAAACAAGAAAAAAATCAAACCCAAAAGTAGTAGAAGAAAAGATGTAATAAAACTTATAGCAGAAATAAGGCCAATAGAGGCTAAGAAAACATAGCAAAAAGTTAACAGCTGTATTTGTTTCTTTTTAAAGATTTATTTTATTTATTTGAAAGAGTTACAAAGAGACAGAAGGAGAGGCAGAGAGAGAGAGAGAGAGAGAGAGAGAGAGAGAGAGAGAGAGGTCTTCCATCCACTCATCCACTGGTTCACTCCTCAGTTGGCTGCAACAGCCGGAGCTGTGCCGATCCAAAACCAGGAGCCAGGAGCTTCCTCCGGGTCTTCCCATGAGGGTGCAGAGGCCCAAGGACAGCAGAGAGCTGGACTGGAAGTGGAGCAGCTGGTCTCAAACCAGCGTCCATATGGGATGCCGCCAGCACTGCAGGCAGCGAATTTACCCACTACATCACAGCACTGGCCCAAAAGCTGTCTCTTTGAAAAGTTAGAACTTCAAAAGCTCTTATATAAGCTAAGTAAGAAAAAAGGCATTTCAAATAAATAAAAACCAGATATTAAAAGAGACACATTGCCTCTGTATTACATAATACAAAAGATTAATGGAGATAATTGTGAACAATTAAACAGCAAAAATATGATAATCCAGAAGAAATTGGCAAATTCTTAGAAGCACATGCCTTACTAAGATTGATTCATGAAGAAATAGAATGCCTAGGAGACCAGTAAGGACTAGGGAGACTGAATTGGCAGAGGTAAGTTAGCTTGTCTGCAATTTTGCCTTTTTCTCTCTAACTCTACCTGTAGGAGCTCAATTATAGGGAATACCTACAAGGAATAGTTTTTTTATCATGACCAATTATTTGACTAAGAAATGTTAATTATTCAATATTGCCATAGTACTTGATAATTTTGCATTTAGACATTTCCTTTATAACAGCTTCTATTCAGGTGGACAAATACACATAAGTTCCTACTGATCTTGAGCATATTTTAAATATTCCTTTACATCTTGTCCAAAACGTACTTTTACCTTCTATTTTCTTTTTCACTTTGATCATCATCTTCTCAAATATCCCTTGGATTATCACTTTTGAGACATCCCCGGCCCGGAGAACCTCTCTGTCATGAGCCACAGAGACCCCATTTTGCTCTAAATTGCACTTCGAATTCACTGGGATGCATATAGTATTGCTTATAAGCAAGTGCTGTGTTTATCCATTAACATTGTTTTAGTTCTTTTTAGTACCATTTTCTTTTGTTTTTTTTATACTAGAGTTAAAAGTGGTATGAATGTCATTTTCTCAACAATGTCTCTGTGTTTCAGGGTAAATATAGGGAAGACTTATATGTCCACTAAAATCTTTTTTCTTTTTATTTTCCACAGCATGATACCTTGCTGTAGGGTCTACTCAGTAGATAATTTTCAATTATGTGCATAATCTGAAATTAATGTTGGCAAAAAATCTGTTAGCACATATTTGCTTTCAAGTATTGAGATCTGATGCAGTATATATCCTTTGTTTAATCAGATGTATTGTGACATTCTCATCTCTTATTTTTGTACAGCATCAACCGCATTAGTATGAAAGAAGTCAATTAATACCACTCTTATTTTCTAGGCACTTCTGCCTTTCGCTGTGGTAGGGAGCATGGATGAGGTGAAAGTTGGGAAAAGGATGGTCAGAGGCCGTGACTACCCCTGGGGAGTTTTGCAAGGTAAATGTGATGAAAGAGCACAGGCTCCGGAAATATGGAGTTAAACATTCCATGTATGTCACCTGTAGGCTCAAAATAGCACTTTAACCTTGTAAATATTGTTAGCTCTTTCTAGCCTGTACATCGACAGTTACTAATGAGAAACTCAGGTTATATTTCATCTAAGCTGATGCTTACATTGACTGTGATTCATTCTCATAGGAGTCCCATTGGGCTTCTGGCTGAAATTTAGAGGCGAGGCATCATGCCCTTGTTCAACCCCATGTGCCATATTCACAATATCTCTCGGGGTAAATTCTGACATTCAGAGTAGTGGGAAGCACTTTGAACAAAACCAAAGCATAAATACTAATGCTTAAATCCATCACATGTACAAAGCATTTTAAAAGTGATCACTAGATAACACTATGACAGACTATTTTTTTAAAGATTTATTTTACTTGAAAGAGTTACAGAGAGAGAGAAGAGGCAGAGAGAGAGAGAGAGAGAGAGAGGTCTTCCATCTGATGGTTCACTCCCCCAATTGGCTGCAATGGCTGGAGCTGCACCAATCCGAAGCCAGGAGCCAGAAGCTTCTTCTGGGTCTCCCACGCAGTGCAGGGGCCCAAGCACTTGGGCCATCTTCTACTGCTTTCCCAGGCCACAACAGAGAGCTGGATAGGAAGTGGAGCAGCTGGGTCTTGAACCAGTGCCCATATGGGATGCCGGTGCTTCAGGCCAGGGCGTTAACCCGCTGCGCCACAGCGCCACCCCTATGACAGACTATTTTAAAACATATAATCTTTGGCACATTGCTCCTTTCACAGTTATATTAGTTATTTAGCACCATGATGAGGTGGAACATTGTAATGTACAGCAATTTATCTTTTTCCTTTACTGTGGGACTAAGGACTGGAGAATGGATGATTGCTACCTTTACTGGTCTCTAAGACATTTTTAGAATTTCAGAGTTATGAAACATACTTCAAACATGTTTTACTATATTACTATATGTTATAATACACTGCATGTAATATTATGTAGGTATAATATAAATATAAACAAAATAAGCTATAGTAAAATCATCGTAAAATAAATATAATAAATATAAATAAAATATTGTCAAATTATCATATGCAATAAATAATAAGTCATCCTAGGACTTTTGGAAATGGCAAACACAAGAGAAAGACATGTGAGTTGGTTTTTTAATTAAAGAATTTTTAATTGAGAAAATTGTATGTAGTTTTCATATACAACGCGATGCTTTGAAATATGTGTTTGTTGTTGAGTGGCTAAATTGAGCTAATCAACATATACATAAGCTTTGTGGTGAGAATATTAATATATACTCAATATTAAAATTTTTCAGAATGCAATATGTTAACAATAGTAACCGTGATGTACAGTAGATGTCTTGAACTTTTACTTTTATCTAACAAAATATTGTATACTTTGACCAAAATCTCCCTTATCCACTACTCTATCCAGCTCCTGATAACCACTATTTAGTATTTATGTAAATTAAACTTTTTAATATTCCTTAAATAACTGAAAGCACGCCATATTTGCCTTTTGTGCCTGGCTTATTTCGTAGCTAAAGGGCCTCCCGGTTCACCCATGTTGTTATAAATGACAGAATTTCCTTCATTTTAAGGCTGAATGGTATTCCATTGTGCTTATTTGCTACATTATTTATCCACTCATTGAGTGGTGGACACTTGGGTTGATTTCATATCCTGACTATTTTTTCTTTTACTTTTTATTTATTTATTTTTAAAAGATGGTGACGTATTGTTATTTTGGAAGCAAAGCAACCAGGACTCGTGCTCACATTTGGAATATTGAAATTGCAGGCAGCAGCTTAGTTCACTGTGCCACAATGCCAGCCCCAATCAGCCAGTTTCTGAAAGGGATTTCTAAGTATGCTACTATGATATTACAGTCTATATTGTTCTTAAAGATTTATTAATATTTGCTTTATATATTTAGGTACAAATATATTTTATATAAGTATATATATATTTAGGTGCAAATATATATTTAGATGCAAATATATTTATAAGTGCTATGTTGTTTTGAATATATTTATTGAATTGAGAGGCAGAGAGACAGTTATACAGAGGGTGTCCTCCTACCAGTCCACTCGCTAGATGATCGCAGTCACTGGGACTGGGCTGGGGCTAAAGTCAGGAGCTGGAAGATCAGTCCAGGCCACCCTTGTGGATTCAGAAGCCATCACTGCTGCCTCCCAGAGCTGCCTTAGCAGGAAGCCAGAGCCAGGAGCTGACCGTTGGTACTGAATCCAGGTACTCCAATATGTGAAGCAGGTATCTTAATTGGCATCTTAACTACTAGACTAAATGCCAGTCCTGCTATATCCTTTTGATTAAATGACTCCTCTGTTTTTATACAATGACCTTCTAATTCTTGGTTTGCAGTTTTTGCCTGAAAGCCTACTTTATCTGCTAGAAATATAGCTGCTTCTGCATTTTTCTTCAATCTTTGCCTCTTTCAGTATATGTGTGTCCTCAAAAGAATCATATGATTTATTGATTGAATATTGATTAGTGAAACACATGTATGGGATATAAGTGGGATTTTATAACTAACACATGCATAATCTATGTTTTGCATATTATATTTTTGTTAGTAGAATTTTACTTAATGAAAGTATTTCCTTCAGTGATGTTATAATACATACTTCATTAGAAGCCTCTGAAATACCTTCAGGATAGTTTGTAAAGTATTAATGCACTGACCGTGAAAACCTATAGTGGATGCTATTAAGACACATTGTTTTACTATTTCTTATTTCTTACTTATGCATTAAATTTAAAGAAAATTTGCTAATCTAGAAGTAAACTCTGCATAGTTGGTATGTATTAGTAGGAACACAGTTATGTTGTTAAAAGAATTATTGCTGTTATTCAGATGATAATGTTGGCTTTCCTTTAAACGTGGTTTCCATTCTTGCATTCTTTCGAGAAAGCTTACTGAGTACCAGGTATTGACAGTGAATGTTGTGGATGTATTGTTTTTCTGACCAGTGGAAAATGAAAATCACTGTGACTTTGTTAAGCTCCGGGATATGCTTCTTTCTACCAATATGGAAGACCTGAAAGAACAGACACACACTCAGCACTATGAACGTTTCAGGTACTTCAAACTGCAGTCAATGGGTTTCACTGATGTGGGCCCGGACAACCAGCCAGTTAGGTGAGTACAGATATGGCTGGAACAACTAGATGAACAATTTAGAAAGTCCTTACAACCACAAAATGTAGTCATTTGGGCATGCAGATAATTGCACTTCTCCCATCCCAACCCATCCTTCATTTTAAGTTTTTTAATCATCCTAAGTCTTAGGTGGAACTAGTAGAAGCAATATAAAAAGAGTTCATTTATAAGTGAAATATTTGTGTATATTGAAATATGTATCCAAGGCATTATTTTGTTTTGATTTTTGTATTTATGTGAAACAGAATCAGGGAAGAGATTGGTGAATATGAGCAAAACTGACAAAGATTGGCAAAAGAAATTAAGAAGATTTAGTGAAGGAAAGAGTTGAAAAGCATTAATGCAATGTCTTGGAAGTCAAGTGAAAAAGTTTTAGAGCAGATGTATTTAGCGCTATTGAAGATGGATGGTATTTGTGTTGTAACAGTATTTATAGTACTTTAGTAGTCAATTGGTTATGATTCCTTGATGACATCCAAAATTGAACTGTCTTAAGTGAATGATATTTTTAAAGATGCCTAGCTTTATTTCAGCTATTTTAAAAAGATTTATTTATTTGAAAGACAGGTTGGGAAGACAGAGATAGATATCTTTCATCCACTGGTTCACTTCCCAGATGGCCACAGTGGCTGGGGTTGGAGTTAGGCCAGGCCAAGGACAGGAGCTGGAACTCCATTTGGGTCTCCCACATGGGAGCACAGGCCCAAGTACTTGGTACATCTCCCACTGCTTTCACAGGTGCATTAGCAGGGAACTAATTGGAAGTGGAGCAGCAAGGACACAAACTGGTGCTCATATGGGATGCTGACATCACGGGTGATGGCTTAACCTGCTATACCACACAGCAGCTCCTATTTCAACTATTTTAAAAGTAGTTTCAATCATTGGAACTTTCCTCAAATTTTATTGCCAAAATATAAGTACAGAAAATGGCAGAAATAAGAAATCACTACTATAAGTAGTTAAAAATTATAGTACCCTTTTTAGTGCTCTTTATTTATACTCTACATATACTCAGGTTGAATATTACACCTCAGTTTATATATCCCATGATGTATAAGTTGTCATATTGGTAAATGTTCTTTTATAGAACCTAGCCTACAAATATATCTTTATATGTTTGTTTATGTGGGCATTTTAATGTGAGAGTAATACAAATGTGCTTTTTAGCTTTCAGGAGATCTATGAAGCTAAAAGGCAAGAATTCCATAATCAATACCACAGAGAAGAAGACCAGCTGAAACAGAGGTTTATGCAACGGGTGAGGGAGAAAGAAGCAACATTTAAAGAAGCTGAGAAAGAGGCAAGTGCTGCTGGTTTGATATACTTTACATCAACTTTTAGTGGTCTTCCTAACTTAGGGGGTAAACTCGAGAGATCAGTTGATGTTTTTGAGGCTGCTTGACTTCAAAAAGTATGAATCCCACGAGGCATTGCCATGGTGGGAATTCTATGCAGTGGCTGTGCCCTGTGTCAAGTCTTCACCTGGGCCCCAGATTGTCCACATGCTATCCTTTGTCTAGATAGAGACATCTGTGTTTCCACAGCTCTTGCAGTCTGTGTGGCCACAGAATTAGTAGTGTGTGGATGCTGCTAGATGTGGATGTTGGCTTGTACCTCATGTAGCAGTGGGACGGGCCACACCTGAGCTCACTTGGTGATGACTGTGGTGGTCCAGGATGCTGTACCAGAATCTGGGGAGCAGAGTCCTGAGGTGGAGCAGAGAGATGAATGCTGAGATCCCCAAGGGACCTCTCCAGGAATCTTGCAGTGAAGGCCCTGATTTGCCTCACAGATCCCTCTGAAAAGCCTTGTCTTCATGACTAGAACCTGGGTAACTGACAGCCACATTAATCCCTGGCAAATGGCCACTTGGGTACATCTTTAGTATTCTCTCCTGAACATGAAAATTATTATTCACAGGGCCAGCTTTAGGGTTTTCAAAATTTTACTTCCTCCTTCCAATTATACATTCCATCTTTAAATAATTTCTCTCTTCTTTTTACTGGAGGTAGTTAAAAGTTGTGTAGACCCTTGACTGCTTTGCTCCTTAGATTTCCCTTCTGCCAGATACCCTGGCTCGTGGCTCTTAAACTGTGTCCTGAATAATGCCTTAGACACAGGAACAATTCAGCCATGTTCTTTGCAACTGTACACTGAGGATGGTCTTTACTGAAGTTTCTAATACCTTGTTTCTATCTGCAACTCCATCAAGAAGGCCTTACTGTCTGTATTTCTATCAGTATTCTGACTTGGTCCTAACTAATGCCTGAGAAGATTTAGATTTTCCCTGCAGCTCTTGTCTTCTTATTCCTCAGCAGTATTTCCCTTTATGCTGAAATTATGGGGATCCAGGTTTTTTTTTTTTTTTTTTTCTGGCTTAATCCTATAATTCTTCCAGCCTGTGCCCATTACTCAGTTCAAAAGGCATTTATGGTGGTAGGAAGCAGGATGGTGGCAGAGTAAGATGATCTGGGGACCACCTTCCCATGGAGGCAGAAAGTTTCACAATTATCAACACATCAAGTCCCCATCACAAGAGCCACAGATGCCAGGTGGGAGACCATAGTGCCTTTAGGAGAATAAGAAGAAGCATTGCAATGAAGAAATCAGAAAGGAAAGAGATGCCTGTGTCATCCCTCCCCTACTCTAAGCAGCACAGTCTGGAGAGAGATACTTCCTGCTTGTGAGAGGCAGAGGGAGCTGAATTCCAGTGCAAGGCCCACTGCAATAAAATTCAGACTCAGACAGAACCCTGTGGCTCCTGCTCCAAGGCTTGTGCCTGCAGACTGAGTATTGGGCTTTCTATAGCCAGACAATCTCTGTCACTCCTCCCACAAACCTTGGCAGAAACTGGAACAAGACCACAGCTGCTATAGAGTAGGGCAGGAGAGGGAGTTCAGGACCTTGCTTTGGAGCTCTGAGCCCATCCAGCAGCTGCCGTGAGACCCAGCACCTGTTAAAGCCCAAAGACCTGTACCCCACCCCAGAGGGTGCTCATGGATGCAGCCTCTGAAGTTCTTGGCCTTGTGCAGAGGCCTGTGCTGTGTTAGGTTATACTCCTTTCAGTGTGTCACTACGGGCCTAAGGTGGGCCTGACATGCACTCCTAGGAATTCACGGGGTCAGTGGCTGTGGAATTCAAGTGTTACCCAGATTTGGTGGCCAGGGGGCTTCTTTTTGTTTCTTTTTTTAAAAAAAACTTTATTTAAGGCATACAAATTTCATGTATTTCCTATATACAGATTCAGGGACATAGTGATACTTTCTACCCTACCCTCCCTCCTGCCCACACTCCCACCCTTCTTCCTCTTCCCTCTCCTATTCCCATTCTTATTTTTTACAAAGACTTATTTTCAGTTAATTTTATACTTGTAATATTTACTATACACTAAATAAAGAATTCAACAAATAGTATGAAGAAAAAAAAATCTTCCCAACAGTTGAGACAAAGGCTATTCAAAATCATCGCATCTCAAAGTGTCAATTTCACTTCTATAGATTACCTTTTAGGTACTCTATTATTTACCACAGATAAGGGAGAACATATAGTATTTGTCTTTTTGGGACTGGCTTATTTTACTAAGTGTAATGGTTTCCAGTTGCATCCATTTTGTTGCGAATGACAAGATTTCATTTTTTACTGCTGTGTAGTATTCCATGGTGTATATATACCGTAATTTCTTTATCTAGTCTTCAGCTGATGGACATCTGGGTTGATTCCATATCTTAGCTGTTGTGAATTGAGCTGCAATGAACATGGAGTACAGATAACTCTTTAATATGCTGATTTCTTTTTGTTTGGGTAAATTCCCAGGAGTAGGATGGCTGGGTCATACAGCAGGTCAGTATTCAGATTTCTGAGGTACCTCCATATTGACTTCCAATGTGCCTTTACCAGTTTACCTTCCCACCACCAGTGATTAGGGTATCTTTTTCCCCACATCCTTGCCAGCATTTGTTTATTGATTTCTGTATGAGAGCCACTCTCACTGGGGTGAGGTGAAGTCTCCCTGTGGTTTTGATTTGCATTTCCCTGAAGGCTAGTGATCACCCCACTGGGATGTCAAATACCAGAACCTGCTAGGTCCTTGCTACTGTGTTTTTGTGCCCCTTGTCTGACCTTCCATGTCCCTTCTCCCACACTAACATCATGTAGGGAACTTTTGAAGGCTCTGTCCCATGGATTTCAACCCAGGTATTCTAATGTAATTAACCTGTATGCAGTCTACACATCAGGAGACTTACAGGCTCGCTGGATGACTAATGAACACCCAACACTGAGAGTCACTGAAATCAACACTGCTTGCATTCTTGGCAGTCACCTCAGCCTACTGACCATTAGTGTGGTAGCAAAAGTCCCCAGCATATGTATTTTTTAAAACTTAAGCCACAATTGCACCTCTCCTTCATTGTATCATTCCATGCAAATGATAACTTTAAAAAGCACACCTCCTCTAGAGCAGGTATTTGGCATAGCAGTGAGGAAACTCACATCCTGTGTCAGATTGCCTGGGTTCAAGTCCTGGCCCTACTCCCTGTCCCAGCTTCCTGCTTATGCATACCCTGGAAGGCAGCTGGCGATGCCCCATGTGGTTGGATCCAGGCCACCCATAAGCTAGACCTGGATGTAGTTCCCAGCTCGTGGGCATTTGAGAAATGAGCCAGTGGATAGTGGTCTCTATGTCTCTCTGTTTAAGTAAGTACATAATTTGAATAAGTAATTTGAATTAAAAATAGCTTCTCTGATGCATATAACAATCTTTGTGCTGTTGACAAATCATATCACAGATGCAGGCCTGCCTCTAATGAGATCAAAGGTGGCTCTGCCTCTTTTGTATGGTTAATTGAATTGATTTTAAGCCCCATAGATGAATAAGAATTCCCAAGGAGCTAAAACGTAAGTGAGTTCTTGTTTTCCACATGAACTGATTTTACTTAACAAGGAAATTATAAGACTTTCTTTCAAAGCATCTTTCCCAATTCAAGTCTCAGCTGCTGTTTCACAAACCATGGTGTATCTTAATGTGCATGTATTTTTAGTGAGCATGGATTTATTAAACTTTATTAGAACATGTTTTGAGGAGAAAATGTTGACTCAGAAAATATAGGTTATTAGGAAAAATGAAAAATTCAGATTTTTTTGTTCACAGCTGTGGGTTCTATTACATTTGATTCCATGGGAACATAGTCAAAATTAACATCAAGGACACCCCACATCTGAGTATTTTCTTTTATTGTGAATGTTTGAGTTGTTTGATAACCCTAAAAGGCAAGTATATTCTTTCAGCTGTTCTGCCGCACTGTGCTTTGAGTCACACTGCACATTGATGTCCCAGTTACAGGACAAGTTCGAGAACCTGAAGAGGATTCAACACGAGGAGATGATAAAGCTTGAAGAAGAGAAAAGACAACTGGAAGAAGACATAGTAGATCTTTATAAAATGAAGGCTACTTCTGACACATTTCAGCCGCCTGTGTGCACCAATGTAAAAAAGGACAAAGATCGTAAGAAATAGTTTTTTCTGGGGTGAGCATTTGGCACAGTGGTTAAGACATCAGTTAGGAAACCTGCATTCCATACCAGAGTGCTTGGGTTTGAGTCCTCAGTTTTTTTCTTAATTTATTTATTTGAAAGGCAGAGAGAGAGAGAGAGAGAGAGAGCACTTCCATGTGCTGGTTCACCCCTTAAATGGTTGCAAAGGCCAGGACTGGGTCAGGCTGAAGCCAGGAGCCAGGAGCTTCATACTGGGGTCCCACATGGGTGGCAGAGGTCCAAGTACTTGGGACATTGTGGTCTTCCCAGGCACATTAACAGGAAGCCAGGTTGGAAGTGGAACAGCTGGGACTTGAACCATCACTTGATATGGGATGCTGGCATCACAAGTGTTGGCTTAACTCACTGCACCACAACACCAGCCCTCCAATTCCATTTTCATTCCCACATCCTGGTAATGGGTACCCTGGGAGGTACTGGGCGATGGCTACAGTACTTGGGTCCCTGTCAACCCATGTCAGAGAACCTGGCTGGAGTTCCAGGCTTTGGCCTGGCCCAACACCAGAGGTTGTAGGCAGTTGAGGAGTGAATGAGCAGATGGAAAATCTCTCTCTTCCTGTCTCTGCACCTGTCTCTCTCTGCCTTTTAAATAAATACATGAATACAAATTTAAAAGTCTTTTCTTACCATCTATATGTTGGAGAGTTCCACCATTCTCTATTCCACTTACTTAGGAGATTGTATTCATAGCATTTAACTCTGATTACAGTTCTAATATTTACATTTTTTGGATTTTGTATGTTTTCTCTAAATAAATGTGAACTCCTTGTGAGCAGACACTTTGTCAGTCTTGTTAGATGCCTTATTACTATCACTTAGGACATAGACTAGCCACAAATGCTGTACTTAGTGAATATTTTTCAAAATGAAAAAGATTAAAGAAATATGAAGGGCCTTCAACGTTTATGCAAATATGTATTCTGAAAATTTATCAATTAATTTCATTTTTTGCACCATAATTATCTTTTAATTCCATTTTCTATGAACTTTTTAAAGTTCCCTCTCATGTCTTTACACATTATTTTCCATGCAGGCATGATTGACTTTTGAAAATAACAATCCAGAGAAATAGTGCCATTAGTAACTTGTAAGTAGCCCTATCAGTAATATCTTTAGTATAAATGTCTTTAAATTATGTTTATGGAATTTTCTGTGATGAACACACATCTGTCACTGAAATGGCACTGCTCAACCCAGTGAAATCTTACAAATGTGTACGATGTATGTGTATTTAAACACTTTTAAACATATATTACACTATTGTGAACCAGCCCATCCATCCAAATAGTACTGCTCTCAATTGCTTTATTATTTCCACTATTAATAATTTAATACATGTCTTTCAATATTAATAGAATCTTTGACTAACAAATTGTATTGCATACAATTATGAGGTACAATTGATGCTTTTGTATCTTTAAACAATGTGGAATGATTAAACTGAGTGAATTAATATGTCCATCACCTTGTCAACTTATTTGTTTTTTGGGATAAGACATTTGAAATGAACACTTAGCAATTTCAAAATAGGTGATATGTTGTTGACTGTAATCACTGCAAGGTGTAAAGATTTCAAACTTATTGCTCCAGCATATCTGAAACTGTGTATGCGTTGAGTAACAACTTGCTATTCCTTCCTTTCCTCCATGCCAGCCTTTGTAGACCATCATTCTCCTCTCTGAGTTAAGTTTGTAAACATTCCATGTGGGTTCTGAGACTGAGTGGTATTTGTCTTTCTCTGAGTCAATTAACTCAGCGTGATATCCTCCAGGTTCATCCATGTTGTCCAAAGTATCAGCCTTATCTTTCTAACAGCTGAATGGTATCCCACTGACTACATTTTATTTCTTTATCCTAAATGGAAATGTAGGTTGATTTCATAGTTTGGCTCTTGTGAAAACTGCTGCAGTGAACATGGGAGCAAGTATTTCTTCAACACACTTTACTTCATTTCTTCTGTGCATGCACCTGGTAGTGGTAATTCTGTTTTAGTTTGTTGAGGGATGGCCACGGTGTTTCTCACACTGTCTGTACAATTACACTTCCAGCAGTGATACGCAAGTTCTCTTTAGACTGTATCCACAAAAACATGTTATCTTTCATCTGTGAAAAAAAAAGCCATTCTAACGGATGTGATGCTGGCAGCTCACTGTGGTGTAAATTTCCATTTCCCTGATTTTTGGTGGTGTCCAGCCATTTCCCATGTGCATGATGTTCACGTGCATGTTTTCATTTCAGATATGTATGTTGAGGTCCTTTGTCTGTCTTGTCTCTACCTTGTTGTTTCCTTTGTTGTGCAAAAACTTTCATTTTGTGTAGTCACATTTGTCTGTTTTGTTTTGTTGCTTTCAGGTTGCTATCAAAAACATTATCACCCATGCCTATGTTGTAGAGCTTTTCTCTTATGCTTTTATCTGGTAGTTTTACACCTTCAGGTCTTATATTTAAGATTTTAATGTATTTTGGGTTTATGTGTGTCTATGGTATGAAATAAGGATCTAATTTAATTCTGAATGTGGATACAACTTTCCCCCAGACCATTTGCTGAAAAGATTGTATTTTTCCCCACTGTATGTATTTGGGCCCTTTGCCCCAAAGCTGTTTTTTTTTTTTTCTGTTCTGTTAGTTTATACATCTGTGTCTATGTCATTATCTGACAGTATTTTTTAAGTGATAGTATTAATTTTTTATTGCTGCTTTAAAACATTACCAGGAACTTAGTGCTTAAAACAGTAAAATTGTCTGATCTTAGCGTTTGGGAAGTCAGAGGACCAACAAAGGTCTCATTGGGTCAAAATCAAGGTGTCAGCTGGGCTGTGTTCTTTCTGGACTCCATAGGGAAAAATTAATTTTCTTTACAAAAATAAGTTTTTACACTTGATCTTAGCCTAAAGGCTGAGAAGTGATATATGAAAATAATTAAAACAAATTTTAAAAGGCACGTAAAATTGTACCTATGTGTGGGGTACCACTGATGTATTGGGGTGGGGGATAGCTAGCAGGAAGATTGACTGCTGCAGCACCAAACATGCCAGATTCCATGCAGTGGAAAATGGAAGCTCCTGCAGTTTAGGCACTTACAACAGGTGCCAGCTGGAAATAACCAACAGGGCTGCCAACTGTGTCTCCATGATGGCCTTTAGCTCATTATAAAGTCATTGTAATAAACTCACCATGGTTGGCACCCTACTCTCATCATGCACCTGAAGCCATGACACTTCTGAGATTTCCCAAAAAGGTCAAGGAAATGAGTGGTACTCAGGTCCCTCCCCCAACCCTGCCCCCTTTGAATATTTAATTAAGTTCTGCCCCAGACACCACCCCATGCCTCCAGTTCACATTAAGTGGTGGACTCAAACCTTGTTGGTACAGTTCTTGAGTGTGCTCGCACACCTTCCTGAATGTATTGAAAATATCTTTATATTTTGAATCCATGGAAAAATTATTCTTGCTTATGTCTGTTTTGGCTGAGGTCCTTTGTGGCACCATACAAATATTTTTCTTTCTAAGTGAATAATGACACTGGCAGTTTTCTACATATTTCCACATCTCTGTCACAGAATTCCCACACTCATGGTGTACATGGCTCCCAAACTCACAAGGGGCAGGGGGTCCCCTCTCAGCCCACGAACTTGCCCCCTGCACAGAAAGAGACAAGGTGTTCCCAGAGCCAGCTGCCTGTCGGTATCCCACCCTGGCAGTCTGATTCCTGGCACCTGTGATACAGTGAGGGGGGGAGCACTGCCCAGGCCAGGCCAGCTCAGATTCAGTGGGGACCACAGATTTATTCCTCTCACATAGTAATGTGGTTGCACACAGGTATGAGCCACAGAAGCCTCTACTCACCTTGTTAAGATGGTGCTTCCTCCCTGATAGTCACTGAGATGGCTTGGAATTCAGCAAGCATGCAACACCAGGAAGTGCTGCACACCGCAGAGTTCACCTGGGCCTGTTTGGGGGATGCTAGGGTGGTTAAGCCGCCTGAGGGGTGTCTTTGGGTGACAGCTGGTGGCTTCAGTTCCACTTCACCAGGGGAGGGGAGGAGGTGGGACAACTCCTGGGCAGTGGGCTCCATGGTGCCCCCTTCTGGGGATGCATCCCTTGCTTTCAGATCTGTAGGGGGCGGGTTTGACCTCAGAGGCTCAATGAGGAGCCTGGATCCTGACTGGTCTGGCAGGCCTTTGGGCTGCGAGGGCCGCAGACCCTTCTGGTGAGGCCTGGGCACTGGGTCCAGGGGCTCAGACAGGGGCCGCCCAGCCAGACAACGGCCATGCAGTGCTCCGTTTGTGACCATGAAGGGCGCAGCAGCCCCGAGCCCCTTCCTTCCTCTCCACTCCCTGTGCTTCACAGCCCGCTTCAGGGCACATCTTCATTCCACAGTCCAGGGCCGCCCTCGCCCCCCATTTTCCACTGGACCCTCCTGCTGACCCGGATGTGTAGCTTTGTCCCCGCGCCCCTGACCTTGTCCCGTGCCTCCCCTTGCTGCACCCATGCCCCCTGGAGTATGATTTTGGCAACCACTTGGACTTTTCACAAAAGCACCCTTTGAAACGCCTTTCTCCCCAGCACTGGTCTGATAGAAGATGCCTGTTGTGGAAGCTGCTTTGACTTGCTTGCGCCTGACACTGTAATCTCAGGAGCACTGAGCAACCCCAACCGGGAGCCCCCCACCCAGGAGGAGCAGGGCTGTGCATTTGCATCTGGTTCCCTCCCTGCGGATGTCCCCAGCCTGGCTTCCCTTAGAGAAAGGATTCATTCTTGCTGCACATTCATGTTTGCAGGGTGGAGTGTAGCTTTCTCTTTACAAAGCCCTTGCTCCTGGTGGGAGCTGGTGGGGGTGGATTGGAGGAGCGCCCCTCTCTTTCCCCTCCAGCCTAGTGAAGTAGAAATCAACAGGAAGAGAGAAGCCAGTTAGGGAGTTTGATTGAAACTGTTTAACTTTTGCTCTGCCTGTGGAATGCACGTTCTCATGTGTGAAAACTTAACCCAGATGGTAGACTACTGAATTATAGGATGACAATTTTTAATTTTAGACTCCACTTTTAAACATTCCTCTAGAAAGAAAATATGTCCTTAAAATACAGCTGTCATAGTTTAGGTCACATAATGTGCAAGCATGTCACAGGAAGACTAGCACAGAATCTTACTTTCCCTGCTGGAAGATTTTCTGCTGTCTTCCTTCTGGTTGCCATTGCACAAGTCTGCAAGGGAATCACAGGTTTTGCTCATGTGTTTCCTAGCAAAGAAGTAGCTGAGGGCACTGCTTATGGATTAAAGGATCTCACTAGCATGCTTCACAGTGTTTTAGACGATTGAATCCTGTGCTGCAGTCTCTCTAATGGAGGGACCGATCATGATGAAGAGCAGCAGTGCCAGGTAAACCATGTGAGTACAGGCTGTAGCTTATACAGCGTGAACACACCTTAGTCATGCAAGTATATTGCTGTTTATACTACGTTTACCTGGATGATCCCTTTAAAATATTGTTTACAATTTTTACACCACATTTTATAATATGGTACAAATATTTTATGCTGCACACTTATCTTTCCAATCTCTGACAACCTAAAATTGGCAATAGATATGACATTATTTCTTTTCTGACAAAGTGCTTTTATTTTTATTGAAAATATTTATGAATATTTTAGGAACAGTTGATCATCTTTTGTGTTATTTAATTTCTTATTGCTTATTTTGATGCTACCTAAGATGAAAATAGTACTCATGGAATTAAAAAAATTAGAATGTATTTTCAAGATTTTAATTTTACATTTTTGTCTTCACTGGCATTAAATTTTGGCCTGTCATCACTTTCTTAGGTTTTATTTTTCAACTTTATTAAATTAGGCCTATCTTGCATAATTTCTATCAGTTATACTTGGCAGTATGGCATTTTATTTTTTATAATTTAGTGAAAATCAGCACCGTAGAAACTGATAGTGAATAGAATAGTTAATGGGTGAGGAAGTGAGAGAGACACCCAGTAACCACATGTTTTACCTGGACTCTTATGCAAGGATACATGCTAGATGGCTTCATTCAGATTATGATACAGATGGAATCACATCTTGACTTTTGGTCTGGATTAAAGTGGATATGGAGGTAGTTAGAGATTTAAGCAAGTGCCTTGTGTTTCCTGGAAACTATTGAAACTCATTTGGATGAAAGATTCTCAGATGGTGATAATTAATTACACCCTCTACCTTTTTCTTGGGATAATTTGGAGTCATACAGTAAAGTCCCAAATGTCCTTGATTTGCCATTTTTGTTCACATGAAACTTCAAATTTGATTTTGTTCCCACATTATATATGATGGAGAAGCCAGAATTACCTGGCAGAATTTAATTCTTCCTTGGATCTAGTTCCATTTTTAATGTTGGGTTCCTTTTTCAAATCTGATTATTCTAGCTGTAGCTCTCTAGAATAAAACATTCCTACCAAGTCCCTGGTCACAAAAGGTCAAAAGAATTCTCATTTCTTAAGGTGCTCAACAAATCACCTTTATTTTGAGATGGTAGTCTTTCAAGTTACTGTTACTCACAACCCTTCTCAGTGATGATGAAATACTGAGTTCCCATCATGGGGCACTCATCTGAACCTCTTGTGGTATATTTCAATAAATTACATTCTTAGTCTTAGAGAACATGGACATTTTAGTGTTTGGAATACTCCAAATTTTAAAAGGTTTTTCTTTGTTTTAGGTTAGCTTCTTCTCTTCCTGATGCCATAAAATATAACATGTTAGATATCCTAACCACCTCCCCCAGATGTTTTTCCTTTTTTAAATTGTATAATGACCAGTAGATTCATCCAATGGCATGCAATTGACAAGTACTATGGATATTTAAGATGATGGTAAATAATTTTAACTATTTTTTGCTATAATTTTATAGGAGAAATGGGCTGTAAAAGAAATCTCTAAACCACAGAGAGCATTTAGGAAACTATATTTTATAGAGGGTCATTAATATGTCCTTAATTCAAGATATAAGGTATATAGTTTACACAACCTTTGTTCTCCTCATACAAAGTTTTTATTCATTTTCCTGTAGGTCAGCACTTTCATTGTTCCTTGTACTGCTTCTGCAGACTTGTTTTCAGTTTGCTTTATTTGTGCTTTTCAGAGTTGTCATACTCATGACAGTGTTTGTGGCACCATAAATGCCAAAATTCATGGGAAACTTAATGAGTGATTGCCTAAGTATTATTTCTCTTCAAATCGGGATGGTGCCACAATAGCCAGAGAAAATGGATGGCTTTTTTGAAGGCCATGTAGATTCCATGACATCTGGTCATAGTGTATTGCTTTAAGGGCACAGAAAAACATTCTATCTTAACTTGCCTTATGGACCGTAAATCCTTGTTGCGCAGAGTGGAGCTTATTTTATTATACTACTTTGTATAATTAAAATAAGTCACATTCTGGGGGGGGGAACCTGGAATTTTTCTTTTTCTTTTTTGTTTCTTCTTGAGAAACTCCTATGTAGAAATCAGAGCTACTCACTACCTTGTGCTCTTGATTGTCCACGAGGATTATTTGTAGTCCTTTTTTTATCCCACATTGGAATTGCCCTCCTCTTCTAGATTGCCTCCCCTTCATGATAATCATGATATCAGGACAGTGAATGTGTAGTGTGTAACATCAAATGTGGTGAGGTATTCTGAAATCCTGCAGCATGGACACAGAATCTCTGTAGTTAATGAATTAGCTATGGCTGAATTGTTAGCGTGGATCGTCAGAAGACTGCCAGGTCTTAGTAAGGAGGAGAAAGATAAGTGATATAAAAATTAGAGATGAGCGGAAGGAAACCACTCTCTTACTGATATTAGTAATCTTCCATATAGTTAATGGTCTAAAAAGTATATTTACTTCTTAAAATCCAGGATTGGTACTGGTAACATAGAAATATTGATTTTCTGTACATTCCTCACTATTGGTTCCCCAGAAAATAATTATTAAGAGTTTATGAAACCAGATTAAATATCCATGTTCACTTCAGCCTTATTTTTTCAAATAAAAATTTGAATTTTCAGCTTTTGTGTATTTGGTGTTCATCACTGTTCATGAAATCAAGGATCAGAAAGGAAGTGGAGATGAAACATCTCTGTATTTCCCTTTGCACTTTGGGTACAGTGAGTGGCATTAGCGTGCACTAGCTGCGAATTTACAGCACCTTATGGAACTAAGTAGTGTTTATTTATTATAATAGAAAAGTTAAGCTGCACTTCTGTAGATAATTGACTTTGCAGAGTGTAAAGCTATCATATCTTCCAACAGGATTTACTCTTTCATTCATAATTGTTTTTGAAAAATCTTAAATAGTGTAACATTCCTTTATATCCTTTTTAATAGTTTTGAATTTGGAGTAGAAGGGATTTTTTTTTCCAAAAAGGGCTTCATCATTGCTATCTTTTAATCATGCTTAGGGATCCAGTTAGAATCAATAAACTTTAACAGTTTATGGCCTCCTATGTCAGCACTGCAGTGATTGGTTGTGAATATTAAATTGATTACTATTTTCCCTCTGTAGCATGTAATTGCTATGTTTTTGCTAAGAAGGTGTGACTAGAAACAAATGTGAAAGATCACTTAAACCAAAGCCAGTTTAAAGGAGTATTCTCTCTTGTTGGTTTACCTTCACCTCAGAATTACAAGAATATTACAACGCATAGTGAATAATTGTTTATAACATTTCTACCCATTTCAATTGCATATTGGTCTTGGCATTTCTTGGCACTATGGTTCTCTGTGGTGTCTTATTATTTGTGAGGGTTTTTTTGTTTTATTTTTAATAACTAAGTGGGACTATAAATGTATATATGTGTCAGTACTGAGTACTTTTCTCAAATCCCCAATTTCTGGTTTCCATTCAAGTCTTTTACTCTAATTTTTTTTCTTGCTGAGTAGCAAAGGACTTTTATTTTCCACTTTTCCAATATACCTACAAAGTATGAACACTGCATTTCAATAGATTGTATTGCATACTTTTTTGCTGAAAACCTTTTCTGCAAACACAATTGCCTTGTTCAGTTTTGTTGTAAACTGACTTATCTTAAGATGCACTGTTGATATGCTTTCTGATGTGTTTGATAAGAGTGATAAAAATAAAGCTTAAAAAATAAAGCAATTAAAAAAATTTGGCCTATTTCCCAGTAACATGTATAAACAGCTCAGTAATGAAGGGAAGTAGTCTTCAGTATGATGTGTGCTGCACTACCATATATATGGAATGGGTGCACAAAGACAGTGCTAGGGTGGCTATGGTAGATTTATGAAAATTGATAAAACTGCACCTATAATTGCATTCGTAGTGTCTCTAAGCCACAATTCTGATGTATTGTACTTGATCGATGAATGTGTTTACTATAATCATAGTTTGCTTTAAATATCTAAATAATATCTGCAGGATTTTTATGTGTTTGGGATTTATAGTATTGATGGGAGATATTCTTGGACCACAAGGGTTATTGTCAATGTGTTATTTGTGTTTTAATTTAATATTTTCAAATGAGAAGCTAATTTTATCGGTAATATTCAGAGAATTCTATAACTGTATATTTCACAAACTATTAAAATATTTTTGTATTGGAGCTTCTTTACATTATTTTATCATGCAGCAGACACTTGGTAGTTTCAAAATAAATCATTAATTCAATAAATGCTTCATGTTATGGACCAGAAACCACAAGACTCTGGATTCACAGAAAATACACAGTGTTTGTTGATAGGCACCTAAACATTAGAAACGGAAAATGTGAATTATCTTCTATAACTGTTTCTTCTTTAAATTATTTGAACAAAAATCTTTGGATTCAACCTAGAGCAGAGAAACAAATTGACTAAGAATAACTACTATATATACTATAATTTAACAACTGAAGAAGTAGACCAGTGGGTGATGGAGACAACTGGTGAGTTCATGGACATGAAGAGTCTCCTTGGGACAAGGACGCTGGTGGCCTGTCCTGAGCAGACACTGTGGAAGTGCAGTCCTTGGAGACACTGGACACTGTGAGCTCAGTACCTGGGAAAGCTGTGAGCTCACAAGCAGGACCATGAGGGAATGATGGAGAATTGTCAGGAGTGTAGCAGCCTAAGAGAGGGTGGGATCCAAGACTAAGCACAGGTTAGGTGAGGCCTGAATGACTGTCCTGGCAGGAGCAGGGCTGGGAGGCTTCAGGCTCCTCTGTGTGGGAGGAGTTGTGTCATTTCCTTAACCCTGATGGTCACATGCTCTGGCCAGGCCAGCAATGGTGTGGGGTTATCACAGCATGAGTCAGGGTTAAGGAACAGGGAGTGGGACCCTGCGGGGCCTCAGGAGGGGTAGGACAGGCTGCAGGGACATGTTTGCCATGACTTCATCCTGTTTAGTCTCCAATGATGAGGGCGGCTGGCAGAGGGAGGATGACAGATGGCAGGTGACACCCTATGACCCCCTGAGTGACAGAAGCAATGTCCCTGAAGTGAGTTCTCCCATCTTTCTTCTTGTATTACTCAACCCATGGCCTGGTCAGCAGCACCTGGTAACCCAGCTGCCTGAGACCTTGGGAAGTGGTTCATCCTTGGAGCCCCTGAATGTGGTGATGTCTGGGGCAGTGTGTGGATCCCTGCTCTGCAGAGCACACCCAGCACCACACCACAGTCACCTCCACCAGCCAGGGCCCAGCTTCCTCACAGGACCCTGCCCTTGGCCTCCCTCCATCCTCACCTCCAGGGGAGACCAGACAAGGGTGGTGAGGAGACAGGTGAATACAACAGCAGCAATGGAACCTGCATAGCTAGGAACACACATGGGCTTGTGCACACAAACACACAGAGACACACACACACAGGCTCACACTTGTACCCAGTGGGATTACAGCTCAGGCCCCCCAGGACAGGGAGAGTGGTGAGGAGCTTGGCCACAGCAGGACCCTGGAGCCTCAACAAATCCTGCAAGGCATTCACTGTCCCTGCAGGAGCCAGAGGCAACCATGCCCGGCCGAGGAGCTGGAAGGGGCCTAATGGTGCTGACAGTGAAGGTGTCCCCCAGATGTGGATGTCCCTTATCTGGGAGCCCTAGGGATTGTGGGTGCTCCTGACCCCATATGCTTATTGTCAACATCAGTGTCTGTGTGGTCAGCACCAGTGTCAGGGGCTGGTGGTGAAGTCACAGTGACTCAATATTTCACCTCTTGCCTGTGTCCAGGACAGAGTCCCTGTTCCTCCTGTAGATAGTCTGGTCCCTGCTGGCTCAAGGTCCCAGGCAGGTGGCAGGCAGCCTGCCTCACCCCTCCCCCTAGTCTCTGGATTCTGATACCCAACAGCAACAGCAGCAGCAAGGAGAAGCCAGGAGGCAGGCAAGAGGTACAGCCTGGATCAGCAGTGCTAGGGTAAGCCTGTCATGTGGCAGGAGGTTGTGCCACATGGATTCCCCAGTTCTGGTCATTGCAAGGGTAGGCAAAGTACGGGGACCTCAGGTAGTTGTATGTCAATTGTGAGGGCACCCATTGCACTCATATTAATCCAAAATGCAAATGCTCAAAAGTCAATACAAAATATAATTGTAGAGGAGGAAAAGGAGGATGGAGGATGGAGGGTGGCAGTGACCTGGGACATTGTCCAGAGAGTGACAGAGGGAACCGGGACATCTGAGCCCATGTCGTATCTCCTGCACATCTGCCCTTTTCTCTTGATCCCAGGAGAGACCACAGGCCCCACTACTAGGGGATTCTGATTCCTCAGGGGGTTGGGAACCCTGACCCCAAGACTTGCTGATCTAGGAGGGTGCCATTGTGACTGCACTCCATGATGTCATCATTGCCAAGCACTGCTCCTTCCATATTCTACAGCAGTTAGAGGCCACTCCTGTGTCAAGTGACCGGCTGAGCTGGAGTTTGTTTTCTAGGCAGCAAGCAAGTTCAGGACACGGGGAAGGATTCAGGTCCAGGTGAGTGGGACTTGCTCTCTTCAGGTCATGATGATTTGGGGACAGGTTGTCCCAGCTGTGTGGGCCTGGCCTCTCCTGGCTACTGCAAAGGGCCATGCTGCCTGAGTGTCTCTCTCTCTCTCTCTCTCTCTCTCTCTCTCTAGCATGTTTTCCAGCTTAAAAACATGAAAAATTTGATTCTCTCTCTGAATACTCACAATGGAGATGTAGAACCTGAAATTAACTATGCCACTTTCAACTAATCTGAGAAAATGAAATGCTTATGTATAGCATTAACAAAATATGTGTAATATTGTACACTCCAAATAACAAAATACTGATTTTAAAAAAGGTGAAGTACATCTAAAGAACTGGAAACTGTACTGTGCCCGTGGATTACAGGATAAATGTAATAAAGGTGCTGGTTTCCCCAAATTAGTAAATAACTCTAATACAATTCCATCATTATCCCAGCAAGATTTTGTAGGTCTAGGTGAACTTATTCTAAAATTCATACAGAGAGTTAAGACAGTCTTGGGAGAGTGGGAAGAACAAAGTGGGAAGATTCACTGCAGTCAATGTCAAGTCTCACTCTGTAGATGCAGTAATCAAGAATTTGTGACACTGGGAAAAGGACAGACATAGACAACAGAACAGAGAACCCAAATAGACCACACAAATATACTCAATTGAATTTTTTTACTCAGTACCACAGGGAATTCAAAAAAGAAAGGATAACTTATTCAAAAAGTGGAGTTCCCCTGCCTCTGTTACACATCAGAGTGCCTGTGTTTGATGCCCGGCTCTGCTCCTGACTCCAGCTTCCTGCTACTGCAGACCCTGGGAGGCAACACCAAGGGCTCAAGTAATTGGGTTCCTGCCCCCTACATGGGAGGCCTGGAATGAGGCCCTGGCTCACTGCTCTAGCCTGGCCCTGCCCCATCTGTTGCAAGGATTTCAGGAGTCTATCCGTGGATGGAACATATCTCTGTCTCTCCCTCCTGTGCTGTCACTCTGCTTTTCAAATAAATATAAGGATCTTTAAAATATCTTTTAAAGTAAAAATACAGGACTCCAAGATGAATTTTCTCAACAGTTGACCAATGCATAATTCATGAGTTTATTCAATATTCTATGCAATATTTAGATGCATTTGCATTTCTGATCAACCCAGATCAATTCACATGTCAGATGAATGGAAAAAAAACATAACAAATATATTGCATTCCATGGAACATTTGGGATATGATTACACTAAGGGGTCTTTCAATGTTTATGTAGCACACAAATGGAACTGGGCATTTGCTATTATTGTTTCAGGTACTGCTGTTTTTTTCTTGGCTAAATCTGGCAGCCCTATCAGGCTAAACTTGGATGTAGGGCCTTCTCTATACCAATTTCACCTATGGCAAGTGTCAGACTGTCTTTTTTCCTCTCTGTAAAGTGGGGGTGATGACTTTTATTTTGCAAGGCTGCAAGCTTCCCACATCACACAGCTCCACTAGCTGTTGGTGGTGGTGAATGCTTAGCAATCAACATGCATGTCTGGGGATGATGGGTGGATCACTGAATCTTTTTTTAAAAAGATTATTTATTTAAAATGGAGAGAGAGGGAGAAAGAAGGAGATGAGGGGAGAGAGAGAGATAGAGTGAGAGAATGATCTTCCATTTGTTGGTTCACTCCTCAAATGGCTAAAACAGGGCTGTACTAGGTCTTGAGCCAGGAACTCCACTGGGGTTTCCCATGTGGGTGGTAGGGAGCCAAGCACTCAGGCCATACCTCACTTCTCTCCCAGATATACACCAGCTGGATCAGGCACAGAGCATCAGAACTTGAACCAGCGCTCTGACATGGGATGCTGGCATCACAGGTGGTGCTTTAACCTGCTGCTTCACAACACAAGTACCTAATTAAACACATCTTGCTTGTTACTGTATCCCTGGGTTAAAGCAAGTGAATACTAGCAATATTATGGGCAAATTTATTTTTCACTTAAATTTTGCATGTAGGCATTTATTTGAACAGCAGAGATCCAGCAAGCTTTCATCTGATGGTTCACTCTCCAAATACCCACCACAACCAGGGCTTGGCCAGGCCAAAGCCAGGAACCAACAACTCTGTTCAAGGATCCAATCACTTGAGCCATCACTGTTGGTTCCCAGGCTGTGTATTGGCAGGAAGCTGGAGTCAAGAGCCAGTTGCAGGACTTTACTCCAGCACTCCAGAGTGGGACATGGGCTTCTTAAATTCCAATTAAACACCTGCCCCACAGGTAAACCTAAATGGCCTGTGGAGTTGGCAGGGCCAGTGTGATCACACCCTGTGTGACATGACAAGTGATAGAAGTGGAGGAAGCAGCTCCAACATCCTGGCATTGCCTTCACTTTAACCACCCAGCTGGCTTTTCCAGGCTCAACTGGGTGCTCATTTCCTCCACTAACTGAGCTGGGACATTTCCCAGATGCCTCCAGGCTGGTTTTAGAAGAGATGACAATGTAAGCATAGGTGTCATTGCCTGTGTCTGCAGTAACTGTTTGCTGAATTTCTCGGAATGAACTTTTGCCAACACCTGCTCAGTGTCAGGGTTTAGGCTTTTTATTATGTTATTCATTTATTATTATTATTATAAGAAAGAGAGACACAGATATCTTCCAACTGCTGGCTCAATCTCCAATGCCTGTAAGAGCCAGGCCATGGCAGGCAACACCCAGGAGCCTGGAATTCTATCTGGGTCTCCCACATTGTTGAACCATCAACTGCTGCTTGCCAGGGTGTGCACTAGCAGGAACCTACAGTTGGAGGCAGAGCCAGGATTCAAACCAAGGCAAGAACACTCTCAGGCTTATTAATATGAAAGATTTTTAAATAAGCATTTGGTGATAGCATATGGCACCTCAAATTTCAATACCATATGTGGCATCCCAGATGGTGCTTCTGGGGAACTTAAAAGGGCCACATTTTGATATAATTTTAGGGGGTCATTTCCAATATCAGCAGCACCTGAGCTGCAGCAAGCCATCATGTGGTGTACACAGACTCACCACCCCATGGCACACAAGGCTCTGGAACACCCAGATGGAGGTACCCATGTCTGAAATGAGCACATGAGATCAATTACATTTCTTTTTTTTTTAAATTTTATTTATTTATTTTGATAGGTAGAGTTACAGACAGTGAGAAAGAGAGAGACAGAGAGAAAGGTCTTCCTTCCTTGGTTCACTCCCCAAATGGCCACTACAGCTGCGCTGATCTGAAGCCAGGAGCCAAGTGATTCTTCATCTCCCATGTGGGTACAGGAGACCAAGCACTTGGGCCATCCTCCACTGCCCTCCCAGGCCACAGCAGAGAGCTGGACTGGAAGAGGAACAACCGGGACTAGAACCCGGCACCACAGGCAGAGGATTAACCAAGTGAGCCATGGCACTAGCCCCAATCATGTTTCTTATATGCAGCTGCCAGCAACACACAACAGGCATCTGTCAGTGTAGGCCATCCCTTAAGAAGTCTCCTGGGGAGTCTGTGCAGGGAGATAGATAGCAGTGATACACCAATGGGTGAATCAGTGGACTCCTTTAGCAGTGCTAGTCCATAAGTCTACTAGATGTTATTCTAATTCCCACATGGCAAACAACAGATACTTTCTGCAGGTAAGCTTTATCTTTGCCTTTTTCATATGATCTTGTATGTAGAGAACACTCAAGATTCCTCAATAAAACTGGTACAAAAACAACTCAGCGAAGCAGTACAATACAAAATAAACATAGAAAAAGCAGTTGTGTTTATATACAAAACTGAACAACCTTGAAGGGAAATATAGAGAACAGCTGGATTTGCAATAGCATCAACAGGGTAAATTACTTAGGAATAAACTTAACCGAAGAAATAAAATATTTAAACACCAAAAACTATAGTGTTAATGAAATGAATTAAAGATGACACAAATAAAAAGCATTTTAAGAAGTTAGTACCACACTAAATGATCTACATATTCAAAGCAATCCTTCTAAACACATCAACATTTCATTTTAGCAGAAAATGTTAAAAACAACTTAGAATTCATATAGAATGTAAGAGGACCCCAAACAACCAAAATAAGTTTGAAAATGAAGTACAAAGTTAGAGGTCTCACATTTCCTGAATTCAAAACTCTCTACAAATCAACAGCAATCAAAATAGGATGATACTGACATAACATCAGATACACAGACTAGAGGCATAGAATAAAGAGAGAACTGGTGGGCATTTAGTCTAGCAGTTAAGATGCTGGTTAAGATTCCCACAATTAAATCTCAGCCTGGGCTCCTGACTCCAGCTCCCTGCCAATGCACACCCCTGGAGACAGTGGTGATAGCTCAAATAATTGGGTTCCTGCCACCAACATTGGGAATGTGGATTCTGTTTCTGGGGGCATGGTATTGTGCAAGCTCAGATTTGGCCATTGTAGGCATCTGGGCAGTAAGCATGCATGTAGGAGCTCTCAGTCCCCACCTCTCAAATTAAAAAATTTAAAATTTAAAAATTCAGTTAATATTATACTCACTGGTAAAATAAAGGAAAGTCAAGATATGATAACCCCATAAATACAAGTTTTGTGGTTTTTTTTTTTCTAAATCTATCTTATAGTAAAACCCTAAACAAATTAGGAATTGAAGAGAACTTCTGTCAGGGAAAGGCCACCCATGGAAAAATCTACAAATGCTGGGGCTGGGAACAAGAAACAAATACTTTTGCCACTTCTATTCAACATGGTAATGGAAAACTTTACTAAATAAATCATGAAAAGAAAAAGAAAAAGTCTTCAGATTTCAAATGGAAACAATAAAATCGCTTTGCATTGTTCAAGACATAATCCTGCATATAAAAGAAATACTGATGAATTTACTATATATTCAAAGTAAAATTCAGTAATCTTTCAGGGCATAGAACAGATGTAAAAGTATCAATTGTATTTCTGTGCAACAATGAATATTCTGAAAAAACAGCAGCATTCCAAATGGCATCGGAAGGAAGAAAAATACAA